GTGTGGGAATAACAGTAAGTGTCACAAAGCTAACAGAAAAGGTCATCTATATCCAGAGTTCTGAAGACAGAAACCTTTGTGCACTGCTCTCTTTTTTTATTGAGAGGTGAGGGGGAAGCTGCTTGCTTGACTGCCAGTTTGTGATCCTTTGTTTTTTTTAAACAGGTAATTGAAGAAAATGACTTAGTTTTCCAGAAATGTTGTGGTGGCAGAGCTTATCCTCAGGCTTAAAAAAAAAAAAAAACAACAAAAAAAACCCAACCCACAAGGTCTGCAACAAGTGTATCTTGCACGTTTGTACAGTGAGGGTTTTTTTTTTTTCCCCAAGTATTCCTAAGAGAATGTGAAATCAAAGGCAGATTTTTTTGCTGAGGGGCAGGCTTGGTTCTGCTAACATCATAGGCATTAACAAAATCAGCTGCAAAACAGCTCTGATGTTAATGAACAGGTTTTTTTTATATTATTTTTCCCTCTTCTTTGATATTTGCTCGCACACTTGGCTTGTCCAGAGAGGATTTTGGTTTGGGAATTTTGTCCTTGGTATACTGGAGTTTAGGAGATGTCCTCACTGACTGCAAATCTGGAATCTAGAAAGATGACCTAGGTAAAAAAATGACATAGGATTACTAAAGAGGTGAACTCCCCTACAGGCACTGAATTAATAATTCTGACACAATTTCACTTACATTTAAGTTGGTTGGCTTTGATACATGCTATGTGTGACAAATCCTGAAATATATATATTCATCTGAGCACTTCTGAAGTTAAAAGAGCTGGTACAAGGAGGGGTTTACATTGTCTGCCCTCTGCCCCTCATTGTAGTTCTCGTCTTTAAAATTAAACCTGATGGGGAATAAAGCTGACCCATTCTTATTGGTTTCTGCTTTGGCTCAGGACAGTAGGTTTGGCTGAGGTTATTTTAATTTGAGGAGCTGTAAGCACTTTCAACGCTATTTATTTCAAATAACAGATTGTTCTAAACCCCCTCCACCCCATTCCCAAATGCTTTGAGGCCAAAATTAGGTTTCAAATTAGGTTTCAAAGATTGTGTAGCATAACTGTTTGGAGATGCTCTGTTTGATAGGATGCAATTGTAATTCATCCTCTTTATCAAAAATCTGTGGCTCATCCCACTCTGGCTAGCAGAGAACTGAGGGTCTCTTTTACTAATTAGCAGTGTTTTCAGCAGCGCATTCTTGTTAGTAATAAAGACTGTTTACTATAAATTAGTATTCTGTTGATGTTAAAAGATGCAAATGAGCAGTTCTTGCCAGTTTGGAACAATATGTTCACACAGTCAAAAATAAATGCTGATTTTAAAGAAGGTTTAACAGCCAGATTATACTGTTCTTTAGGACAAAAAATACGTGTTTGTAAAGCTGATTGAAAGTTTTTCATTTAAGAAAACAAGTGCAACAGACCATAACTTTAATGAATGTCTACATGTTGTATTACTGACAAGGGGTATATAAGGAGATTATGAGCAATAGAATATTTTAGTGCTACCTTGTTATGTATTCAGCAGCTTTCTCAGGTAGCCTGAAGAAATAGTAAGAAAATAAGAAACTGAGTAAATGCCCTTGTTTTATGAAGTAGCTGTGTCCACCACCTACACAGAAGTCCAGGAGGGTGGAATGTCTCAGCACTAATGAAAATCAGATGATGATGTACTTGCCTGAACCTGTGTTTCATCTCATCTGTATCCACAGCTATCAGATTCCTACAGGGAAGAAGTAAAGTCATTAGACATCAGGTATTGCATAGTACTGTTCCAGAGATGTGACTGGATGTTAACTGTAATTCCATTTCAGATTCAGATACACATCTTCAAAAACAAAACAAAAATGCTTTGATTTTTATGGTGTGCAAAGTATTACTTGGGGCTAACCTGCATTTGGGGAGGAGGAGGCTGCTTTCATGGACAAATCCCTTCTTCAAAACATATTGACTAAGGGTTCAGTTTTGTGCCCTGAGTGACTGTGACCAAATCAATCAGTATCTGCCAGTAATACAAAATCATTAAGGTTGGAAAAGACCTCTAAGATCATTCTGGTCCAACTGTCAAGCCATTTTCACTAATCCTGTCCCTTGGTGCTGTATCTACACGTTTCTTGAAAACTTCTGGCAACGGTTACTCTACTGCCTCCCTAGGCAGCCTGTTCCAGTGCCTCTCCAGTCCTTCTGAGAATCTTCCTGATATCCAACCTGAACCTCTCCAGTGCAATTTGAGGCCATTACCTGTTCTATCACTAGTTATCTGAGAAAAGAAGCTGATCCTCCCCAGCCCCACAACCTCCTTTCAGAGAGTTGTAGGGAGTGGTAAGGTCTCCCCTGAGCCTTCTCTTGTCCTGACTAAACAATCCCAGCTTCCTTAGCCACTGCACTACATCTGTGCTCCAGACAGCTTCATTGCCCTTCTCTGGACATGCTCCAGGGCCTCAATGGTTTTCTTGTAGTGAGGGGCCCAGTACTGAACACAGTACTTGAGATGTGGCCTCACCAGAGCTGCGTACAAGGGTACAGTTACCTCCCTGCTCCTGCTGGCTGCACTGTTTCTAATACAAACTGGAATGCCATTGGCATTCTTGGCCACTTGGGCACACTTCTGGCTCCTGTTCAGCTGGCTGTCCTTCTCCATGCAGTTTGCCAGTCACTCTGCCCCACGTGGTCATAGAAGGAGAGGAGGGTGTTCAAGCAGGACCTGCCTTTCATGAATCCATGCTGGCTAGACCTGATCTTCTGGATCACGCGTGCTTTGTCATATCATTCAAGATATCTGCTCCATGACCTTCCCCAACACTGAGGTCAGGCTGACAGGTCTGTAGTTCCTTCTTTCAAAGATTTATGTAGTCAGGCATCACGTTGGCCTAGTTTTCTGGAACCTCCCCAGTTGACTAGGATTGTCTTGGCAACCACTTCTTTCAGCTACTTTAGCACCCTTGAGTGGATCCCATCTGGCCCTATGGACTTGTGACAGTCCAGGTAGAGTAGCAGGTTGCTAACTGTTTCCTCTAGAATTATGAGGGGTTTATTTTGCTCCCTATCTTCCAGCTCAGGGGGTAATATTATGATGCTCTCTTTTTTTGTTTATTTTGCTTTTAAGCTTGTTGGGGTCAAAGACTGCTTTACCTCATTCTTTGATATTATTATAGTTTTCTCCCATTGAAGGCTCTAGTGTCATTCAGAGCCTCACACTCTGCAATGTTGTGCTGTACCTGAAGCAGAAAAAAAATACAGGGATGAAAACCTGAGCTTTTAAAATCCATTTTAATCCATTTTTTTAATCCATGTCATGCATGCAAGAACCACAGGGAGGTGGGAAGTAGGATTTCTTTCAAGCCAGCACACTGCCCAAACTGGTTTGAACTTACTAGCTGTTGTGATGTTGTCATCTGTTTTGAACAATGATTGAATAACATGATAGTTTGTATGTCTGGTGTAACTTCTTCAAAATCTTGCAAATGTAAGAGGAGTCTTTAATCTTCACTTGTACTGGCTGCAGGCCTTCTCCCTCTACTAATTGAATTGGAAGAGTCCTAAACTAGTAAGGGCTGGGAAAATTGTGAAGACTGGGGCATGGTGAGGCTGGAGAAATGAGTAGAGGGGAAATAACATAAAGTATAACAAGGGGAAATGCAAAGACATGATCCTGGAGAGGAATAACGTTATGCAAAGTGTGCATTGATGGCCACCCAGCTAGGAAGCAGTTTTGCAGAGCAGGACCTGGGGTTCTGGTGGATACCTAGCTAAACATGAGGCAGCTGCATGCTCAGTGACACCCTGAGATGCATTATAAAGAGCATCTCCAGCAACCTGAGGAGATGATTATTCACTTCTACACAGCACTGGAGAGACAACAGTGGCAGCAGTGGTAAACGTCATAGCATAGCTTAGATTACAGCATCTGAGATTTTGGTTTCTGAAAAAGAGTCAAACCTCTAGCATTATGCTTAAGTTTAGAGAGGACTGTTCACATCATCTGTAGTTGTTGTAGTAAGTACAACACACACTGAATGCATGTTTCAAGTTTCCATCAACTGAAGACTCATTGTCTGCATGTTCTCTTGAGGGAACTTTCCATTAAAAAAATACCCAAAACATTCTTCAGTATCTATGCTCTGATTTAATTCAAATAGAGAATAAATTGTTCTTACGTTGTTGGGTTGTTTGCATGTGTGAGTCATAAGTCTACAGTTTGTTTTGTCTGAGAATTATAAATATGCAAACTAGTATCTCAGGAATTTCCATTAACATTTAATAGCATATGTTAGAATGGTTCAGGTATTTACAAAAGAAAAAAAAAGTGATTTTTGGCCTGGAACTGGCCTGGAACAGTGAACTGGGTTTGTTTGAACAAACTTTTAATGCTTTTAATGAAAGCGTATTAAAATATCTGTAAGTTAAATACATGTATTTGTCCTTACCTAGACATGGGCTTTGGTACTGTGGCTCATATTTTCATATCTTTATGTTTTAGCAAGCTAATATCTGAAGTAAAGCAAAAATTGGTATAAGCTCAGGACAAAATTTGCTCCTCATTTTGTAATGTCCACGAGACAGCCGTTGTCTTTCGTTTGGTTTTCCAAGTTTGATTCTGAAAGTTACGTGCAACTTACAGGGGAGAAACAAAGGGCAAATTAGTGACAAATTAATCTCAAATGTTCTTGTGGTTATTGGTGTCTGTCAAATGCTGAATTATGAAAAGAAGAAAGAATGTTGATCATCAGCTTTTTTTTTTATTTCACTGAGAATCCTTGCCGTTTTATGTGGGCAAAACTTACCTCTCTGTTTGAAAGTGATTTGGTAGTGAATAATGTTGTCACTAGTGTTTTTAATGGAAATAATAATGAGAACTTATACTGAATCCTTAAAAGCACATAAAATCAAAATGCTCATTTGGAGGTCAGACTCAGACTTGCACTTGTATGGAGTTTTAGTTGCCAATGATTTTTTCTCTTTTTCCTGTTAGGATAACTCTGTTTTCTGATTCTTTGTTTCAGCTGAAGGAATGACTGCATTCTGTGAACATCTGAAATCATCAGCTTCATTGAAAGAATGAGGACCAGAAATTTTAAGTGAGGTACTGTAGTTTTGTTGTTTTAACAGGAAGCCAATTGTTAATCTTTAGGTTAACTCAGATTTCTTTCCTGTGACTTTTTGGTTTTATTCACAGAGGAAGAAAGGTTGATAAGCACATGTAAACCAGTAGAAAGTGAGGCGATTTTATGATACTGTTCTCAAGTGGACACAAAAACATCTTTTCAAAGATCACTGACCTGAAACTATAAACTTACTCCTTCTGAATTAATATCAAAAATCTCTTTGATTCTAGGAGGAGGAGAATCTTTGGTTTCTATCTTGTGCGTCTCTTTCATGTACTCAAGCATACACAGCATTTTCAAATTAAATGCTGAATTCCTTCTAGCATTTATATCATCTTTAATAAGAATTGGCTTTTTAATGTAGTCTTAGGCTTGCTTTCTTTCTGCCTTCAACTTGTAAATTTTCTGCTGCCTTTCAAATTCTATCTTCTGTTTTTATTGCATTACAGAAGATTGTACTTCCTCTCTCCATATTTGCATCTTTTTGATGTGAAAACATTTGTATGAAATGTATCCGTCATATACTAAACCTGATATGTAAATGATTCTTTTCTCCTCCTTCAGAGCAAGTGTAGCAAGGCATCTACTAATACACTTGTGCACAAAACTGCAGATGAAAGCTGGAGTGGGAGTGACAGCAAATGAAAGCAGAGATGAGGGAGGAAGGAATGGGAGAACAGCAGAAGGGAGGAAGGGCTTCAGAAAGTGACGTGTAGCAGTAAGTTGCTACTTATTTTTCATTGCATCATCTATAAACTTTTATATAAGAACAAGGGACAGATTTCATGGGTATTTTAAGTATGTAAATAAGACCGCCGTAGACATTTGACACTTTTTACACTATCTAATTGGACAAGAGGAATGACTTAGAAGTAAAAGAGGAGAAATTTAGGTAAGATGTTAGGGAGAAGTTTATTCAGAAGGTGTTGAAGCACTGGCACTGCTGCCCAGGGAAGCTGTGGGTGCCCCATGCCTGGAGGCATTTAAGGCAGGCTGGATGGGGACCTGGGCAACTGCGTAGACTGATATGGTATATCCCCCTGTGGCAGGGGATACGAACTAGATGATTTTCAAGGTTCTCTCCAACTTAAGCCACTGTATGATTCTTTGATTTTCAAAATGCTTATACATAGTAGTACGAAACTGTCTATCTTTGGATGCTTAAAATACATTTGGAAATCTTGAGGTTTCAAGTCTGATCAGATTTTAGCTGAGAGCCAGCTAGAGTTCATAATTCCCAGTAGGTTCTGTGCACTTAGGGTATGGGCTTAAATAATAAAGATTGGGTTGCTACAGCACAGCAGCATACTTCAGGTGTGTTTATAACACATCGCTGGATTTGTAAGAGTTAAGCACCATAGATTTATTGGAGTGATCCTAAAATGAAACAACCTTTTTTTTCTGTTTGTTTGTCTTCCTTGTAAATCTAAAAACAAAATCCAAAATTGATCTATATTAGATTTCTACACTGAATCATTCCTCAGAATCTTAATTTGCGTGATACCCTTACTATTACGTGCAGTGAGATAACAGGCAACTCAAATGCAAATTTAAACAAGTCAGTCTGTTTTTTAATTAAGGGTATAAACTTCTGCCCCTATCTTTTACAATGCTTTACCCAGTTTTTATCCTAGTGAGCAAGAAAACTCTGCTTTTAACAGTTGTTCAGCCTGCTCTGTCTTCATTGTACTTTGGAATACAGTGTAAGTTTTCTTGACTATCTTATGGTTTTGTTTTGAAGTTTCCTCCTTACTGATGCAAGAAGAGGAAAAGATTATAAGTTTTGGAAGCACTTGCATTACATCATTCCAGCATTGATCAGATCTGTATATCAGCAGAAGGTTTAATCTTGTTCCTGTAAAAGGAATTATGTCTATTGGGATTCTGATTCTTCTTAAAGCTGCAAAAGGCTTTGGTAACTTTGAGGGATAGACTGTGTATGACAAAAACAACTTTAGTGCAGATCCTGATACCATCTTACCTCTGCACTGAGAGATGCTGAGCAAAACAGCCTCTGCTGATTTGGATGGAAGCTGCAGGCTGTAAGCTCTGCTTAAGATGTTTGCTTTTGAGTTATTCCAGAACAACTGATGTGGGCAGGTGTCTATGCTTAATGTGGACTGTAAATGTAACATATTATTTTCTAGGGCATGCAGTTTATAAGAACCCATATGGAGCCACTTCTGCTTTTTTTTTTTTAAAGGTTTTAATTTTAATTAAGTAATTGCTGAAGAGTAGGGCAATTGAAGCAACAGACTCGTAAGACTTAAACTCTCTCTGAAATTGATACTTATCCCACTGGTTTGATTACTGACTCCTCATGATAGTGTAACACACTCATTTAGTATAACTATGATTTGATAAATGCCAGTAGCTGTTCAGGTGTGATTACAGCCTTCTCGTAACTGCATGTTTTTGCAAATACTGCTTTTTGTGCCTGCACAATTCAAATCCTTGTGGAAGCTACTGATGCCTGTTACCATTAAGAAACTGCAACTAAATCATGCTGTAGACGGAATACTTGACAAATTCCCATCTCAAATCAGTGCTAGCTAGATGTACTTGCTTCATCTATATAGTGGTGTAAAGAAAGTTTATCATCCTGATCGATCAAATCTTAGTATAACTTTTTTAGGGTAGCTTTGAAACTGAGTATTAAAAGCTCCCAATTGGCATGCTGACTGAGGCTTATGAATGCTGCAATAAAACATATTGGGAAGAGACATACACGGTCTCTTAGACCTTTCAAGTGCTTGTATCTGGGGAACGTGTTGGAGTGCATTTTTTTGGGTTTGAATTTGAAAAACAGTGCTGTATCATAGTACTGTTCTCTACACAGTTGAGCAGATCTGTTCCTTTGTGATGTTCATTTAGAACTAGTTTTTTAAAATGCAGAGAAACCTACGTCAAGATTTCTTTTCTAAAGACAGCACACAACATTCCTCTTCTCAGAGGATGGATTTTCCAGATAAGCCACCCTCTGGTTTTCCTTATAAAGGAGCAATCCTCTATTGCCAGCTGTAAAATGTATCCTATAAAAATGTGCTTTATTTTCCCTTTGAGATTTTTTTTTGTGGTTACTTTTTTTCTAATTTAGTTGGTATTCATTTCTTTTGCACAACATTCTTCCCTGTTCTTCCCAAACACCCTTCAAAACTCGGGGCAATTACAGCCTGTGACTTAGGACTTAGGCAGCCTGTAAATTCTTCCAATAGTCTGTATTTTAAATATTATTATGCGAAAACACAAATCTTGAAGTACAAACAATTCCTTAGTCCACACTGATGCTTCAACTCTGTGATTTTTCTATTTGTCTGTTCCTGGGATCAATTTGTTCTTATGCTCTGTTTTACATTTTTTTTGAGTCAGAGCAAATACTTACCAGTCCAGGTCCAAGTAGATTGTTTGACTGTTCTTTTGCATCCCAGCATAAGTGAAAACTTGAAAGCAGTTTAGGGCTGAATTCAAATGAATAAAATCCTAAGAAGCTTTGTAAAATAGGATTTGAAGACAATCAGTAGCCTTTTCATTACAGCCTCATTTTCTTTGCAGGTGAAGGAAGATTCTGATTCTGGGCTAATTGGTTGTGAAAAGAAGATGAACAAATGAAATCTGTTTATTTTTTATCCCTCTCATGCCTCCTTTTTTAATCTTCTCATTTTTTTCTGCTTCCCTACTGCTGGTAAGGAATGCAATTACGGATGGGACACTTTACAGCCTTTCTGTAAAATCTGCCAAGATTGAAACTCCCGCAGGGATAACATTTTTTTAAATGTACCGAAGAGCAGGAGATTGTTTGAACATTCAAATGTTCATCCAAGTCATTTAAAAAGAAAACTCTTTCCCTTCCAGCCAGTGTGCCTGTTCTTGATGGATAGCTCCAGTCTAGGACTACAGCATATTCAGTAGTCTGGGGATTTTATCTTTAAAATTGTGCAAGAGAAATACCAAGTTAAAGGGTGGGAGGAAGCAGAGTGGGATAGAGGGGGAGTGATGAATGTCATTTGTGATGCAGCTACTTCGTACATTTCTGGAATAAGATCACATTTATTTCCCCATGACATGGTCTGGGACAGTCTCTGTTGAAATTGAGAGTTCTAGGTAAGCAGTGAGCACCTTTCTTCTCTGTTGCCCTCTTCTCCCCTTTCCCAGAATTAAAGCACAGTCTTTTGGGCAAAAAGAGCCAGCGTGTGGTCAGCTGGTCCCTGCACCGACCCTAAAGGAGTAGGCAGTGGGGGAAAAGGGAATAAAGACTTCCTTTAGGCACTCAATGCTTATTAGTGTAGATTGGCTTTTGTTTTAGCTTGAAATCACATCCTGAACTGGGGGCAAGTTATGTGAAATGCATTTGAGGTAACACATTAGAGGCAGTGAGTGCAGTGCTTTAGCTGTGAGTGGGAGGGCATGCAGGGCACTGAGGGGGACCCCTTTGTGTGGGTTGCAGGGTTTGGTCTGCGTGCACAGCAAGACGTACTGACCCGGTGTGGGCATGGAGGGCAAGGAGTGGGCACATCTTGTAGGTGAGCAAAGAGCTGGGGCTCCTGGGGCTGTAGGTGAACAAAGAGGCTGGGGGTCTTGAGCTGTGCTCCTGCAGCCCTGGATGCTGTGCTGCACAGTGCTGTGCCGTGCCAGCTCCGCATGCCGGTACCGCGGTGCCGTGCCATGCCAACCCTTCACGCTTGGGTACCGGCCGTGCTGTGCCAGCCCTGTGCACCGGGTGCCGCACCGTGCTGGCCCCACGTGCCAAGCACCGCACCGTGCTGTCCGGTGGGAGGCTGCGGAGGGCTGAGCCGGATGCAGCTGCTCTCCAAGGCACCTGCCTGCCCAGCCAGGCAAGAGGCATGTCTGCAGCGGGCAGTTTTATTGCTCAGGCTTTTATTGCTGCCGTGTTTTGCACCCCATAATGGGAAAATCAGCTTTATCGGGAAAACAGCTCATTATCTGGATTCCCTCTGAAAGGGGCTCACACGCCTTCTGCATAATGGCTTTTGACTTTGTTCATTTTAAAAAAGATTGCAACGCCTGCTCCCTCCTCCCTCCTCTTTCTAACGAGACTCCGGTTCCGCACAAAGGATTTATCATAGCCATGCAGCACTCACCTTCTCCGTCCACATCTTCCTCAGCCTGCTGGGCTACTTTCAGAGGGGGAGCGCCAGGAGCGGCATGAAGCTGGAGCCTGACAGTGGAGGTTCCCGAGCCCCTGCTGCCTGGGTGCTCTCGTGCCCCTCGTTCCTTACAGCAGAGCAGCTGAACGGGCGCCGTACTTGTGCTGCAGCTGCGGGGAGGGTGGAACCACTCCACTCACCCTCAGCAGCACTCGCTGAGCGCAGCCAAATTTTTCAACTTTATTTAGGGGGAAGAATAGATCACATGGGGAGCTTCACCGAATGGGGAGGAGCGTGTTAGTGCAGAATCAGGTCACTAACATAAAAACCCAGGAGTTAGTCACAGACACAAAGATTAACGGTGCTAGCATAATCCAGGCATGAAAATCAGGCTGAGACAAAGGCAAGAGATGCTTATGGGAATTAAGTGCTTCTGTTTGCCTCCCTTATCTGTGTCATTAAACAGGGTAATCTTTTGCTCCTTATATCAGGTGAGTTCTACTAATTGAGTAAAAAATAGAGTGGAATGTGTAAGAAATGCTTTCAGCTTCCAAATAATTCTGAGCACGATCCCCTTGGCTGTCAATTTGGCATTTCCACTGGCTTATTTTTTAGTATCTCAAATGCTTGGTTTGTCTCTGTTCTGCTGTGTTGTATTAGGTCCAGGGTAGATGCTACAGACCCATTCCAAAACACACGCGTGCCCACATAAAACAGCCTGGGTTGAATAATGGTCTCCGACTCCAAGCTTTATTTTTTATCTCTTGCTCAGACAAAGGCAGGAAGGCTGCTGGCTGATCCCATATTGTCCCACTGGCTGAGAATTAAGTTTCTATGACGCCTTGTTCTGATCTGGCATTCACGAGGAGATGGTAAAGCTCCCATGAAGGGTGTATGTAAAGCAGAAGGTGTCCCTGTGTGCCAAGGACTGCAGCAGGATTCCTATGACTTTTAATATCTGTGTTTATTTAATCATCAGTGATGCATTCAAAAAGCTTCTGATGTACTTAGGTTATTTAGGGACCCAAACTCAAATGCAGATTCCTAAATGTGGTTACCAAAATACACATCTATCTTGTGAAGAAGTGGGCCTGACTTTGATAGGTGCTAAGCAACTGTTCTGCATTTCCGTCTGCTTTTACGTCACATCCCACCTTCTGCTACCTTCCTCCGTCCACATTTGTAAAAAGAAATTAACTTGGAAAACTAGGCTGTCGTCTTCTTTGCTTACAGAGTCGTCCCGCCCCAAAGAACCCAAATGCATGATTCCAGACAAAGGGGAAATCAGGAATGCAGTGGCTTGCCACTACAAAGAGGCTCCATTTGTCTGGTTTGTATAAAGCTGCAGGACAGCCTGTACACCGTGTGCCCCAGAATTACTCAGTCATCTAACAGTTGCACCTGTCTACAGAGTAATTGCACTTCCTTCAGCCTGCAGACAAATCAGCCAGCTGTGGCAGTTAAAGGCTGAAACAAAATGCTGAATCCTGGCAATTTGCTAACGAAGGGCTCAGGTTAGTTTGTAGGAGCTTCTGAGTTGGGAGTCATGTTAATCGAGCTACCAAAGCAAGAAAAACAACCTCCCTGTCAGTATAAATCAAAATATGTAGCTCTAAATTCTCTGAAGGTCAATCTGTAGGGTATAATTTAGGCTTCTTGCTCTGGTTTCCCCCAGCCTTGGGTGTAAGGGGGCAGCCTGTGCCTGTTGCAGGCTGCCTACGGTCTCCTAAAGGAATGGAGGAGTACAGCTGCTCAGAGTGGAGCAGAGAAGAATAGCAATTGGTTCCTTTATAGGGCAAATCAGTGAAGGGTAGAAAAAGCACTTTGCATCTTTGCTACAATACAGATGTACTGAAAACTCAGTTTGAAACTGTCCCTGTGCTTTAAATTAAAAAATGGTGTATTTCTGAGCTAGTCTTGCAGGGAACCTGTTGTTTTTTGACCTGGAAATTGACCTCTGTGTGTAGCTTTCATTCCAGGTGGACAGACACCTGATTTTCAACAGAGGTGTATGAGTTGTTAGAGATATTTTCTGTAGTTTTTATTTTTTAAATAATTTCTCTAT